CGAACTTAAAAAGAAACCTTTATCATATTCAAAATAAAAATTGTTATTTAACTGCCCATATAACGTTTTATTACTAATGTACGAGAAATTTTAGACGGAGAACGTAATCGCTTTTTAAATGAACTGTTGTTTGATTGTTATTTATTTCTTATTGGACTTTTTTGGATGAAGAAGCGTAGAGCCGACTCAACAGTAATTAGACCATTAAAACAATTGAAGAAGGATAAAAAAATCACTGAGTTATAAAAAATGATAGATTTAATGGTTAAAATGAGATAATGACTAAAAAACGATAAGGTATTATTCCTTATTCTTTTACTCAAAAATACTTCAATATCAAGTACAACTGATTACAAAGTGTATTCAGGTAGGATATACTGTTTAATGTAACCCTACAAGATATTTCTGTATATATATTAGAACAGTATGAATTTTCCACAGCACTGAATGTCTATAAAATAGTTGAATGCGGCCTTGAAAATATTTACGATATTTTGGATTAACAAAAAATTATAATGGTGAACTAAAACCATAATTAATATTTGCTATGTAGGGTGGAGAAGATTTGTAGCCCAAGTGGATGATTTTTATGGAGTTTTGTTCTCTGAACTGGATGGTTTGATCGTGGAGGTTTCATCTTTCTTCTGAACGACATAATCAGCACAAACTTCAGACTTCTATCTGAAGCTCAAAGAACAAAACTCCATCAAAATTTGCTATGTATATTTATTTATTAAGTTATTCATTCATCATTTTCTGTCCATAATCGTTGAGAATAAATTTATATGATGGGAACCAGGAGTTATTTACTGATCGATTCAAACATATTGATTTATTCCAAATAAATGAAAAAAGATACTAACTGCTTAAGCAGAATCTGTACATAAATTATGCAAATGTCAATTCTTTTTGTTAACTTACATCGCTTGATATTCCATCTATTTTTTATTCAACCGACTTATTTTTCATAGTGATTGAAAATACTTAGTGTATCCCATATTTTTCCATAATGTATTCTCCCTATATATATATATATATATATACATATATATATATACATATATATATATATATATATATATATATATATATATATATATATATATATACGGGTTGTTCGTTGTTGAAAACCATACACTTATTCATAATGTCACCCAATCGAATTATTATAACATAAACAGTATTATATTTTAGATTAGACTGTCAGATTCGAGCGACCGAAATTTTGGCGATTTAATATACTGTTTGTTTGTGTTATCAAATAAATTGATGTTTTTCAAATTAGACTAAACTTATTGTATAATGCTTACGATTACAGGAAAAGAAATTTACTGTCTGATTAGATTATTATGAAGAGAAATGATTTTACTAACTGATACTCTTATCATTTTGCACCTAATCAATCCAAAAATGTCACCTATGTGGTTGGAATTTTTGAAAAAGTTTCGTTTCTTATCTCTTGAAATAATTCTGTGGAATGTTATAATTCACTGGTAAAGTTATATCTATTACTACATATATTAGTTACTGTGTTATTACTTAAGCTGTATAACTAAGGAGTTGACCTTAATTCACTGATCATTTTGTGGTGTGCGCTACTTGTATACACGTAAGTAGTATATAACGATAGTTAGGAATAGAATGTATTTCAGTAGAAGATGGAAAAAGAAAGAAAGGGAACGAGAAGGAATCGGTATGAAAATGTAGGAACAATGAAATCTAAGGCGATGGACTGATACTTGCAAAAGGAACAGTCAAGTTTGACACAATGGATTGATATTCTGCAAATTAAAGATTTACTGTATGGTTCTCAAATTTTATTGAGATACTCTAATTTTTTGTTCAATTACATTCGATTGTCCCCACTTGTGCTCTTGTTCACTACAATTTCAGTTCATCCTACAAATAAACATTTATTATTCTAGAAGTTTTTTTAAATGGGAATGATACCGTGGGAAATTTCAAACCCATCTAACAGCTAATGTTTGAGTTAGAGAAAATCTTTTGTCAAAGTGTTGAAACGAATCACTACTAATTACAACAATAAGGTAAAAAAATGACGGAATAATTCCTTTTTTCCTAAATAGATGACAATTTCTACAAATTATTCTGACATTTAATAAGCTGTATTAGATGGTTGTTAGAGGTAATCAACAGGAAATCCTGGACCCAGGTTTCGTGCAACTCGGCACTCGTCAGCAATGTGTACCTGTAATCTTGAGGGAACTGGTGCTCGATGGCGGATTCAATAAAGTGTCACCCAGCTTCGCAGTAAGAGACGTTACCACTGGGCTATCCGGGCCGTGACCGACCTCTTGTAGGACTGAGATGTAATCACAATTGATTGATCACTTGGTGGTGTTCAATGTCATGAGTGTGAAGTCCTTCTTGGTGCAGATCGAATGCTATCGGCCAAGTAGCAAGAAAACCGGTTCTAGGGTTTCTTGTTAACTACCGCCAACCACCATCTAATCTCAACATAGTGCGCGCAATGTTGAGTCATTTAGACTAGTGGCCACATTGCAACTTGGTCGATCTGCACTAGGAAGGACTTGACGCACATGATATTGATCACCATCCAGTGATCAATCAATTGCGAATAAGCTGTATTTTTTTCTTAGAAAAAGACAAGAAATATATATGAGAAAACAAACAAAACAATGTAGATTAAGTGGATAAACACAAAATCTAAAATTAATGATAATTTCTCAATGTCCATCAAAAAAAAGAAGAACAACAAACGATAACATAGCATCTGGAACATCCATCATCATCATCATTACTCAGATGCTTGTTATCATTATTAGTGAAGGATATAAAAAAGACATAGTACTTACAAATTACTGTAAATCTGTAGTGTACTTCAACTATCTCAATTCAGAAATATAAACTTTTACTTTGATCAAAGGCGAAGATATATATACCATTTATAATTGTACAATGCATAATTCTAACAGTTTGTTTACATCTTTCAATAATAGTCATATGATCTATCATATCAACTGTATACATTTTCTTGTAGACTTTATATAAACAACATCTTTCAGCATCAAACTAATATATATATATATATATATATATATATATATATATATATATATATATATATACTTTTCTACCTGTACATATCAAAGAAGAGAAATACATAAGAACTGAGAAAATGGGTAAGTGACTAGCTAAAAAAAAATAGAAAAAAAACAAACAATCGATGAATACATGAACAAAAAATGTAGTATTTCCGGTCAATCCTACAAAAAAGGTACCAGCAAATCATTTTGTAGTTCAACTGTTCATATATAACAATAATGGTAATAATCATAATTTATTATTATTATATTATTCGAGAATAGTTTTTTTGACAGACATACGTATAACACGATTCAGGAAATGAATAACTTGTTATGTTCAATAAACATACATTCTATACACTACAATTAATACTACTTTACTTAGCTTTATGGATAATCCCTTTTATATCTTTTTATTGTTGTTGTCTCCTTTTTCTGTCTATGTCTAGTGTATGTCAATCCAGTTTAAAGGAAACATCATTTATTAGAATAAATAATGTTTACTTTTAAATTATTTGAAGTCTCTTTATTTAGTTATTCATAATTAAAGTTTAACAAGGTTAACACTGAAATGTTTTATCTGTCAAACGAGTTAGTTTATCGAATATAATAGAAATATAGTGATTGTTTAAATGAATAGATACTCTTCTTTTTAAAAGCTTCATATATATAAAGTACAGCTTAAGGTTCCGTTAAAAAAGCACAAATGTAATGATTTCAATCAAATGATAGGATGAAAATAAAAGAGATCTAGTAAAAATGATTTAGGAAATAATTAATCTTAGACAAAAGGTAAATATATCAACAATTTTATGTTAGAAAGAGTTTTGTGGAGATTTGAGAAAATTTTATAGTTGAATTTATGAGCCTATTGAAGCTAGACTACCACAGAAAACCTGAAAGAACTGGACGAACGTTTCGTTCCAGTATGGTAATCCTCAGCAGCGTGTATCAACGGTCCCGCCCCCTATGACATTCGAAACGAAGATCTACCAGCTTCGTGCGCAAACACAGTCTCTAGACCACTGAACTGGTATCGTATGCTAACTAGTGACTGGCTTCAAGAGATATTTCCTGGAGTTCTAGTGAGCAGTAGTGACCAGTGGAGTTCGATCGGGTCTGTTGTAAGATTGGTTGAAGTTAGACATTAAAACCGTTGGATGCTGGCCATCTCAGGGGTCTAGTGGTTAAGCGCTCGTGCTTGAGTATTATAGGTCCTGGGTTCGAATCTTACGAGGCGAGATCGTGGATGCACAATGCTGAGGATTCCCACAATAGGACGAGACTGCCGTCCAACGCTACGAGGTTTTTCATGATGGTCTAGCTTCAATCGATTCATAAATTCAACTATAAAATTATATTTTAATTTTGTTATCATCAGGTTTCAGTACATAAGTATATTAAAATTTTCTTGAAAGGATATTGTGAAGATTGACTTCATTTGAAGGTAGTCTTTGTTATATATTAATTTTAACTGAGTTCATAGAGTATTGAGTGGATGATTTTTTAAAAATTTTAAACTGCTTACTACCACTTACTCGAATCTATGAGTTTTAGTTCATATGGGGAATGCTTAAACACTTGGACCATTGGGTAAGAGTTTATTAATACAAATTTAACTTCACCCAGTCATTCCACAAAGGTACTTTGTGAAGATTGATATGATTTGTAGATAATATTTGTCATATACTAACCTGAATTAAGGTATTTTTGAAAATATTTTAAAAGCTGGATCATAAATTAAACTAATATCATTGGTTCGAATTTTTATTTCAACTGACAAATCTAACTAATGATCAAATCACGATCTCGATCATATTATCATAAAAAATGTCTATTATTGAAATGATTTCATTCTGTTTAAAAGAAAGCATTACATGTGTTACATGCATTAAATATTTAACATTCATTTTCGTTTCTTCTTTTTTATAGCTGGTAGACGATCAGAAAAACCACCATATTCTTATATTGCATTAATTGCAATGGCTATCAAAGCATCTCCATCAAAACGATGTACATTAAGCGAAATCTATCAGTATCTTCATGCACAATTTCCATTCTTTCGTGGACAGTATACTGGATGGAAAAATTCAGTTCGACATAATTTATCATTGAATGAAGTTTTTATTAAATTACCAAAAGGTAAGTGTATATTAACATTTCTGTTTAAAAAAACAGTAATTAAAATGGAGTTACAGTTATTACGGCTAACACTTGCGCATTGGAACTAGTCGTACCATTCGACAAATGCAACCTGTGTATAAAATCACTCTCTGTAAAATAGCTTTCACTAAAATCCAAGTCATTCAACGAGTAACTTATTTCAAGATGTTCCTGAAGTCCTTGTAAGTAGTTGCCATTGATGGAGTTTAGACGTATCTTGAGTGAAACAGCTCTGACCAGTGGTATCATAAAATAGTCGAATTATATATCAAACCGATCCAAGTTGTAACTGATATACTGGATATTGAGTCAATGGTCTTAATGGTTTAGGATTTATCGCGAAACCTGTAGGTCTTGGATCGGATCCTTATTAGTGTCGTGAATAATCTTTTATCAGGAAAAGATATCTGCTTAGTGCCCACTAATTTGTAGCAGTATTCTGAATGACACGAATCTGTAACGATTAAAGCCTAAAAATTTGTTAACGTTCAAAATAGTTCTCATTACTGTATTATAGGAAGACAAAGAACTTTTGAAAGTGAACGAATACTGACCAGCCGTTTTTTCTTGTTTGAAACTTCGTAAAAGTTGACGTAAAAGACTTCAAATAACTTTCAAATCTGTTGAGTACCATATTAATCATTTATTTAGTCAGAGTTTATTAATTTACATTTTTTAAGCTTTATTCAATACTCTGTATGGTTCAGTTAACGTCCAATGATATATATCAGTAACAGTTTCACTTTCATATTATAGACCATCATCATTCAATTCACACATCATTCTAGTAACATGATTGATAGACTTATAAAACTATATCAAATATGATACAGTTTCTTGTCGCGTACCCATTTTTCTTTTCTCTACCTTATTTATGATTCATTCGAATACACATTAAGATCAAGTAATGAAATGGTTACTTTAATGTTTTATCAGATATAAACTTAGAGTTAGCAACTCACTGAAGACAATGGTGGATGTATCGCTTAATTTCGTGGATTAGTTAAAGTTAGACATCAATACCATTGAATGCCGGCTCAGTGGTTTGTAGATTAAGCGTTTCCCTGAGAGACAAATAGGTCCTGTGTTCAGATCTCACGAGGTAGGATCCTGGATGTGCACTGCCGAAGAGTCCCATACTAGGACGAAACTGTCATCCTGTGCTTCCAGATTTTCGATGATGGTTTAGCTTCAACTGACTCCTGATCCCAAGTATTAAAAAATTGTTAATAGGGAAATTTGTACAAACCAACAATACCATCAATAGCAATAATTAAGATGATGTATAAATTAAAAAAAAGAAAAAAAGAAGAAAATGAAATTCATTTATCACAAGAACAAGATGTGAACGTGAGTTTTATAATATCGTACATTTCTATTCATTTGCATACTCCGTAATAAATCTATGTATTTAGGAAGTAGGTACCAATTTAGAAAAACATATACATATAAATATTTTCACCTTACGATATGCTTATTTAAACAAAAAGTCCACCGACTATAATCAGTTATTAATAGTATTGTTAATCCTTTCTAAGTAATGGTAGAAATGCTGAGGTTATCCACAACATATTCATTGGTCAGTATGTATATTATATACACTATTTTTGGCCACTTTCCCATTCATTTAATGAGATAGCTATATATGTGAATGATTTTTTCATCAGAGATTAGATTCCACCTGTAGCTTTTCTAAGGTTACTGTCGATCCCAAGTCCGAGTAGAGGAGAAGGGTTATGCATATTGTCAACAACCCCATCACTTAGAAAATAACTTTGCTTAAAAACATAAGTTATTATCCACAACTATCTAATATGATAATGTGAATATAGCTTAGGTCGAAATACTAGATTGATAAATAATAATATTGTTTAAATACATATTAATATACTATAGTCTTATACTAAATGAAGAGAAAAAATAGCTGAAAATATTAGAATACAACATACATAATGAGTATCGAAGATAACCATGATTAATATTAGATAATAAGCTTTTGCAAATTTACTACTTATATTTTATTAAAAATATTCCATTTACAAATTATTTCATTCATCAACTTGAAATAACATTAAACATGAATGAATTAGTACAGTAAAAAAAACAAACAAAAAAAACAAAAATAATAAATTTTTATTAGTATCAGAAGGGATTTTGTGGAGACTGTAATAATTTCAATAGTTGTGATTAGGAGTAAATTGAAACTAGATCATCATGAAAGACCTTGAAGCACTGGATAGCCGTTTCATCCTATTGTGAGACTCCTCAGCAGTGTGCATCCACGATCCCACCCCCCGCGAGCGCTTAACCACTAGACCACTGAGACGGCATTCAAAGGTATTAATGTCTAACTTCAACTAATCCACGAAATTGAGCGACACATCCACCATTGTCTTCAGTGAGTTACTATCTCACAACTGACCCGGTTGAGCTCCACTGGTCACTGCTTTTCACTAGAACTCCAGGATATAATTCTTGAAGCCAGTTGCTAGTGAGCATATACCGATTAGTAATAGAAGGGATTTTGTGGAGATTGTAGTAATCTCAAAAGTTGTGATCATGAGTCAGTCGAAGCTAAAGCACCATGAAGAACCTGGAAGCAATGGATGGCCGTTTCGTCTTATTGTGTGAATATTAGCAATGCGCATCCACGAGACGGGATCGTGGATGTACACTGCTGTGGAGTCTCACACTAGGACAAAACGGCTATCCAATGCTTCCAGGTTTTCAATGATGGTCTACCATCAATCAGTTCATAACCTCAACTATTCAAGTTTACTTTTATTATTAATACATTAATCATCTTGTTTATATCCTGAAAAAGTTTCTAAAATTATGTTAATGAATAGATTTTAAATTTCATAATTATACACCCATTTAATATACATTTTGAACCTTTCTCTAATAATCTAAATATGATAATTGAATGTCATACATTTTCACACTATAAAAATCCGTCTAAAACATTATGAAACATTTATTATATTATTAATTGCTATCATACATCAAAGGTAATAAGCACATTATGTATGTATTTAGAATTTTTACATTTTCATATATATACTGGAGATACCATAAATCACAAATAATTATATAAATAATTCATTACAACAACACATGATATTCATTGTAATTTATACAATCAAATTATGACAATTACTTAATAGGGTATTTGTTATCAAATAGGTATTAGTTTAAGACTTTCAAAATAAATAAATGAATAAATAAGTTTATAATTATTGTAGTGATTCAATGAATAAAAATCGTCTTTATTTATCATCATATTATATATATACGGTTTGTGAAGTTCCTATAGATAGAGCGTCCCAGTATATATATATAGACGTGATCAATGAGTAGAATGTTTGTACGAGTAGAGAATCATAGATAGTTAAATATAAAATCCTAATGAAATTCACATGATCTTTTAATGTAAAATTAAACTTTGTTTTTTTGATTGATCTCATGAACCGATTGATGTTAGACAACCATTAAGAACCTGGAAGCACTGGACAACCGTTTCGTCTTATTGTGGGACTCCTCATCAGTGCGCATACACAATCCCACAAGCGGGATCCAAATCCAGAGAATTCGGTCATGCGAGCGAACAATTAACCTCTAGCCCACTGAGCCGGTATTCAATGGCGTTAATGTCTAACCTCAATCAATCCACGATATTGGGCGACCATCTTTCCTGTAGGTACCTGTCTCTACCTGATATAGATTACCTCCACTGGTCACGGCTACTCACTAGAACTCCGGGAAATCTCTCACGAAGCTAGTCACTAGTGAGCACATGGTAATTATTAGTATGGGATTGTAGAGATTATTAAGTTTCTGATTGAGAACATGAATCGATTGATGTTAGACCACCACCATAACCCCATATTGATGAAACTTACTCATTAAGTCGTAGTAGTAACGTGTCTCATCAGAGGCTCGTATCTGAGAGCCTACTTAGAAAAGGGTCTAGGATCTTTAAACTTTCCACAGACCAACTGAATTTAGATTATTTCTAAATTTAATCGATTCGCGATATCGAACATTAAAATTGTCTTGTATTTATCTCCAGGATGAGAGTAGTGGTTTGATATTTGTTATTCTTTCGAACTCATGTATATAAATGTACTGATTTATAATCAATTTTACAAAAGATTCAATAGAATTATTTAAGTATTTCAACAAAAAGAATTTTATCTCTTAGTGGGATCTTTGAAAAATTGTCAATACCAGTGATATTACAGTCATTTTAAAAGAAAATCAATTAATTTTATTCCGTTAAGTATTTTATTATATGTTTTTATGTTCAATAAGCTATAAATGTTTGTCATGCTACTTAGGTATGGGTCGTCCTGGAAAAGGTCATTACTGGACTATTGATCCAGCAGCAGAATTTATGTTTCAAGATGGTGCATCAAGAAGAAGACCAAGAGGTTTTCGAAGAAAATGTGCATCAGCAGCAGCTGCTGCCGCTGCCGCAGTAGCGGCAGCAGTTGCAGTGAATATTTCATCAGGAAATAATTATTCACAAATAACTCATGATAACACAATGCATAAAATCTCCACAACACCTTTTGATAGTTTTAATTTAGGAAATATGGGCCATGATTTATTGTTAACTAAAGAGATGACACGGTTTTTTATACCGAATTCAGCAAATACCCGTGGTATGAATTATGATGGTGTAAATACTGTTTCTAAACTTCAACCACTTTCTAACGGATTGTCAATTTCATCAAATTTGAATATGACAAATTCAACATCAGTTAAGTGTGTAGAACTAGAAGGTATTGGACCATCATCTTCGTCGTCTTCCATTGACAGTGTTTTCTGTAATCGTACTACAGCTAATTTAAATGGACAAATACATGGATCCAGTACACCAGCTTCAGTTTCATTTGATAATGTATTCCGTGCACAATCAGATTCTTTTGGGATAAAGTTATCAAGTTCACCAATGGAAATTCCAACAATAACAACCCAGCTTACAGAAAATATACATGCTTCTAGAACAAACTCAGGAGATTTAGATCCTTCACCATACAGTTTTATGAACTCATCAGAACATCTAAGAAACAATAATGGTAATATCTCAGTTAGCCAACAGCTGCCTCCAATTTACCAAACTATGATTCATAAAACATTACCATGTATACCAAACTCAAATCCTACAACTGTCTCTTCACTTTATAAACCTACTGTTTCTGACGCATATATTGGTTCAGTGAATATAAGTAACAATACTGAACATCATGAAGACATAGAAATAGATTATTCAACATATTATAGTAGAGAAAAAGATCCACAAATAAGTGGCTCACATTCAACCCCAATAAAAATAAACCATCACAATTTATATGAAAATAACTTCAATCTTATACAACATTCTCAGGGTTTATTGTTAAATACAAAAGAATTGAGTTTACTAAATCATAATAATGAACAATTAAGTAGTGATCTTGATGTACGTTGGTCTAATGACAATGTGTGTTGGCCATGTGGTACATCTATAAAACGAAACCAGATGTTTAATCAAAAAGAGTGTGATCATACAGATATTCCTTCAAATACAATGGAATCCAATTTATACACTAATGAGATTTTTAATGTTTCTCAAATAAATACTAATTCTTGTAATAATAATAATAGCACAACTGTTAACGATTTCAATGATCCTACAAGAAGAATAGTTGAAAGATTTCAAGAACATGATAATGCTCTATACACAAGAGCATTATTATCTCCATCTTCTAAAAGTAATTCACAATTAATTGATTCAAACAATATACCAAACATTCAACATACTAACTTAACAAAATCCGATGAATCAAATCGAATAAATTATTCAATAAGTTCACTTGATAATGATATTAATATTCATATGAAAGATTCATGTCATCCTAAATGTCCACGAATTGAAAATAGTCAAAATAAAAATGAAGGTAAATTAATAAATAATTTAGTATCAGAAGGGTTTTGTGGGGATTGTTGTAATTTCATTAGTTGAGATCATGAAACAATTGAAGATGGATCATCATGGAAAACCTGGACGAAACGGCCATCTAGTGCTTCCAGGTTTTCCATGGTGATCTAGCTTCAATTAACTCATGATCTCAACTATTGAAATTACAGAATTTAATAATTAATTATATTCTAATTTTAAAAATGTAAAGTCATATTGTTGAACATTTTTTATGTAACTTGTTAACTTACATTGAATGTGTTGATGCTTAAGGTAATTAACGAGTAATTTTTAAGTCATAACTAGTTTATATTGACTGATAATTACAAATTTTCCCCATGGATGGAAGCCAAAAAGCACTAATCACTAGAATTATCGACTAGACTAAAGAATGAAAATTATACAAACTATATAGGTATTTAATAGATAAATTCAGCTAACATGAATAGTTTAGTCGAGTAAAATTTCAAACAAATTATTTATAATTTCAATAGTTGAGATCATAAGTTAATTGAAGCTAAACCACCATGGAAAACCTGAAAGGACTGACGACCATTACGTGCTATTGTAGGACTCCTCATCAGTGCGCACCCATGATACTGCCTCGTGATATTCGAACACAGGACCTATCGGTCTCGTATGCGAACGCTTATTTTCTAAACTACTGAGCAGGTATTCAATGGTGTTAATGTCTAACCTTAACTAACCTACAAGATTGAATGACCCATCCACTATTGTCATCAGTGAGTTACTATCTCACAAGTTTGAAGAAGTCTAGTCAAAATATCATCCTTCTACGAGATTGACTGAAATCATAACAGAGACCATAATTTCACTAACATTAAAAAATATCCATACCACAATCTCCATACGTAACGGAACATATTGGAAATCCTGTGATTTTATTATATGTATGAATGATTAAAAAATTACTTAAAAATAGGTTATTTAATTTATAAAAATAGACAAGCTTTTTGTTTTATTTGGGACTCGTCCATTGGAGTTTACTGTATCTTAGTATTGATGTTCATATCAAAACTTGAACTGAGTACTTTACGCTTTGAACATCCAATGCATTATCCTCTGAGCTATTGAGTTCAGACAACCACTAACTAAAACGCGTTGGTGGTTAATTCAAAAGGCATTTAGGTGAGCCTTTAGTCTGAATACATAGATAGTATCTAACTGACAAGAACCAATCAATATGAACCATTCATCCTGGATTTCTATGCTAGCCGCAATTCAGATATACTAAAATCTTATGACTGAAAAGTTATTTCGAGACAATCTGCTCTGGTCGCACATAAGGCAACAGTGACTAATCAATCTCAGTCTTCAATATCAATAACTGAAAATCACAAACCTTTACTAATAACTTTGAGTACACAAACATTAGGTTCAAAACCTTAATATTTTATGATCTTAACCTTCATTTCTGTCTTTCACAATTTATCAGCTTTTGCTTTTTCTCTCAACTATCGATTAGCCCTTATTAAAACTTTTAATTATTCTGTTTCTAATGTCTTTCAAGTGGACAATTATTTTCACATTAACATCTTTTACTAACCGGTTATTACATAACGTCCTTTCAATATCTGGCTTTCTTTCACAACTCATGAGACGGTACTATTTCAAGTTTTTTTGAACCATTCAACACAATTATATTTTGCTATGCATTATTATTTTTTAGCAGATAAGTTAGTAATAAATACAATAGTACTTCTTAAGTAATTAAAATAGTCTTGAAGAAAGAATTTCTTTGAAATTATGAATCAATTAATGTTAGACCACTATTGGAAACCTGAAAGCATTGAATGACCGTTTCATCTTAGTAGTAGTGCGCACCCACAATCCTGTACGTAGGACACCGTTTCAGTGGTCTAAAGGTTAGGCGTTTGCGCATGAGATGGAATGTTCTGGATTTGAATCTTGCTCGTGGGATCGTAGTACGCACTACTGGGGAGTCCCACACTAGAACGAAACGGTTGTCCAGTGCTTCCAGGTTCCAAATGGTGGTCGAACATTGATTAATTTATAATTTCAATGAAATTCAACAATCTCCACAACCCCAAACTAGAAAAAATCTTCATCTTTACTTTGTTATCGTTAGGAATTAGAAGATAACAAATTTCTAATCAATCAGTTGTACACACTTGTTTTTAATTAAGTGGTAGTTTATTACTAGCAAAGAAAAAAAATACAATTTGCTTAACAACAACATAATTCAACGTTGCCAAAATGTTTCACATAGTACTGTATATTTTAAACCAATTTAATTTCACGTAATGTTCATAAAAACAAGTTTCATTGTGACACTTAACGTTAGAGATTATTATTATAAAGTTTCCATGTATTGCACTTCAAATGATTCATGTAACTTACTTATGAAACGCTATTAAATCCTGTAGTCAAGTACAGTTTTATATGACATAATAGTTTTAAGTTTACAGTGATCAAAACATTCAAAACTAACTCATTTATCTAACAATACAATACACTATATACAGTATTACTAGTTGTGAATCGGTCGTGATATCGCATTGAGCTCATTATTTCATAATCTTACAAAGATGAATATCTAGATTGCTTTATTTTTTATGTGGATTTTATACATCTAGAGAAAATGGTTAATATATAGTATAAGTAAAATTGAAGTCATCAATTAGTACACTGGTGAACTCTTCTGTGAAAATGAAGATGACCTCATATAGGTAATTGAAAACTAATTCATTCGATATGTGATATTAGATAATAGACTATCCTAGATTGTAATTGGAATATATATAAGAGATATTCTATATAAGGAATGTTGCTAACTTCAATTATTTAGTTTGGTTTTAGAGTTATTTCGACTATAGAAGATTAGATTCTATTTATGAACCGGTTATAAAATGATAATTATTGTCAGGTTATGACATTTTGTAAAAATTGACATTTATTTATTTCTTAATCAACCCAATAGATGTTAATTTTATTCTTCATATTTTCATAATTGAAATATCTTTCTTTAACATTTGATTAATTTTCGAGGTAACAAAACTCTAACAAACCCCGATAATATTTCAGTCAAGAATCTAGCATTATATAAAATTTACAATTTATTTGTAGTTATCATACTGCTTTACTTTTATTGATTATAGTTAGACCTATCTAAGGATACGCTTATGTTGAGATGTTAAGTGGTTATAGGTAGTTGACAGGAAACTATTTACTCAAATTTTATGCTAGTTAAAACTCATCAAATAGGATGGAACACCTGAAATCTTAAAGAAACTGATACTCTTTGTGGCCTTCAATACCTGAATAACCCGGTTGTCAAATCTTGACATTTCAACATAGTGTATGTGATGTTGAGTCATATTGACTGGTGTTTACATTTCATTAATCGAATTCGTTACACAAAGAGTTAAAAAACATAACACTAGTTAAGAATCAGTGATTAGTCAATTCTGGGAAACCATTTAAACTGTGTGGTGATTAAATGTTATATTAAATTTTCTGTATCTATCCATTGAAATTCAATTGATAATCTTTGTTAAAGAATTTCATATCATTTTATTTTTATAATTTGTTTTATGTAGAAATTCATGAAGGAAATGAAATATTAGCATACAATACAACAACGGATTCATTATCAACATTTATTACTAGTCCACAATCACAAAAACATAACTATATGTGAATATTTATTTGGTTAATTAATTCATTATTTACTTGTTTATGAGTAGTATAATGTACTATTCAAAATTTCATAACTTTACGATTGTTCTTTTTTTTAATTTCGTTTCTTTTAACTCCTTATATACATATACAAGTAAAAAACAGTTTCGTCAAATGTTTAACATATATACATATATTTTCATTTAAACGTTTACATTGACGTATATATGAATATAAAATAACAGTATTCTTGGATATTTCGTTCATCCAAACTAACACACCTTTCGTCTTAATCATTCATCTGTCTTCTTCATCATATTATTTGTTGATCTTCTCGTGAAATTCATCTATCTATCTATCTAACTTTATATATATATATATATATATATATATCAGCATTCATATGGTTAAACATTATAAAAAGAAGAAATACTACTAACTATTATTAATAGAATTAGCTTTTGTGATTTACCTTTCACATTGACAATTCACAAAATGCAATTTCTATATATTGAAATCTAAATGCATGTGTTCATATTTCTCAGTCAACAATTTTAAATTTATATATAAAATTAAATTATGTTGAATAATTGTGCATTAAATAATGATCTTTGAATTTTATTGATTATTCTGTTTTTAGTATCTATGACTTTATTAATAAATCAGTGACAAAGGAAAGAAAGAAAGAAAGAAAGAAAGAAAATGTTAGATGAAAATATGTTTGTTTATCTGCAGTTTTTTTTTCTTTTTAATGAAGACATATAATACTGTTTATACTACTGATGTCTATAATATTACTAATAATATGAAATGATAATTATTTCTATCTTTTTTATATATAAATCTATTGAAGATCATTTATATTTATAATGAATTTGTAAGTTATTTTCATTACAATCAGTTGAGTGAAACTTGTCACAATACAGCAATCTCATTGATTATGAAAAGGCATTTGACAGTGTAGATAGGAGGACGATATGGAAACTTATACGACATTATGGAGTTCCTGAGTAGATTGTCAACATTATCCAGAACTCATACGACGGACTACAGTGCGAATTCGTGCATGGAGGACAGATGCATTCCAATTTACGACCGGAGTCAGACAACGCTGTCTACTCTCTCCCTACCTCTTTCTTTTGGTAGTTGACTAGATTATGAAGACCTCGACATCTAAAGGAAAACATGGCATACAATGGACAATTCAGAACCAACTAGACGATTTGGACTTCGCAGATAAACCTAGCCCTCCTATCGCATACACACGAACAAATGCAGATAAAGACAGCCAGTGTGGCAGAAGTCTCTGCATCAGTAGGCCTCAACATACACAAGAGGAAAACCAAGGTCCTTAAATACAACACGGAGAACACCAATCCAATCACACTTGATGGCGAAACTCTGGAAGATGTGGAATCCTTCACATACCTGGGAAGCATCATCGATGATTAAGGAAGATCAGATGCAGACGTAAAGACGAGGATTGGTTAAGCAAGGGCCACATTCCTACAAGTGAAGAATATATGGAACTCAAAACAACTGTCAACTAATATCAAAGTCAGAATCTTCAATACAAACGTCTAGACAGTTCTACTGTATGGGGTTGAAACTTGGAGAACTACAACAACCATCATCAAGAATGTACAAATATTTATATATAGTTGTCTACGCAAGATACTCAATGTCCATTGTTGGCCGGATACCATCAGCAACAGCCTTCTGTGGGTGAGAACAAACCGACTTCCAACTGAAGAGGAAATTAGGAAAGGACGATGGAAATGGATAGGACATACATTACGCAAATCATCAAACTGCATCACGAGGCAAGGCTCAAACTTGTAATCCTGAAGGAAAGCGGAAAAGAGGAAGGCCAAAGAACACGTTAGGTCGAGAAATAGAACCAAATATGACAAGGATGAATAAGAACTGGAAGAAGCTGGAAAGGATTGCCTAGGATAGGGTTGAATGGAGAATGCTGGTGAGCGGCCTATGCTCCTTTAAGAGGAGTAACAGGAGTAAGTAAGTAAGTTTAATTACAAATGAAGCCAAAGAATAATAATTCAAGTGGAGTTCACGAAGCTTGTAGTCCAGTTATCAGTTGAAATCTCCATAAGCTTGGATTGTAATGACAATCATCTTTATTCAACATCATTTATTAGATTATAGTGAAGAGTTCTTAGTACGAAATATCCAATATTGTAGAAAACTTATTTTACACCCAGTTAACCTCTGGATTCTCAAAGCAATTTATCTATCTAGTCTCTCTCTCTCTCTCTATATATATATATATATATATATTAACTTACTGAAATTAGTGTATTATACTAGTGGGATTTTTAATCATACTACAATTATTCGTGGCTTATATTACTGAAATAACAGATCATGGGGAGATGGTTGCTTAAAGCAGTCATTTATCTTGATTAAGGCACTAGAGAGAGTTTTCTCATATTCCTTTCAATTATGATATAAAATATATGACCTAAGTGAATTGATAACACTTTCTTTTATTAAAAGAATAAACTTCTAGTCTAACTAAATTGTATGTGAATAGATGATTTTTTGTTTTGATTGCAACTTTATGTATGACTCTCAGGATTGCCAATGTCAATTTTGTCCATAGAAAAATGACATCATTTACCGAAGTATCAAGGTATTATTTGCGTGTTACCCTTAACTAGATATGAAAGATCTTGTTGATATTCTTCATTAGAAAGTCAGTATTTCCACTTTTCTTATTTCTCAGTTAATTATGTCATTTTTGACAGAATTTTTTTTAATGTTACAAACATATTTATTGGTACATGGAGGAAGTCACTTTATTACTATCAGAAACTAAGAATAAATGCCAATATTTGATAAACTTTTTTGAGAAATTAATCACAGTGACCAATATGTAGTTAGCTTTCTATTTATTTGACAGTTTTTTTAGCGGATTTCAAGGTATTGTTGTTGTTATGTGATTCGTCAAAGTTGTTAGTGTTTCTTTAGGTAAATGTTAACTAATCAATTTATTCAATAATTTTTTCCTTACTAACAGTGAAAATCAGCATTTATTTGTTCATAATGTACACTGATTAATCATTGGCTAGTGACCAGTTATATTTATCTAGCGCTCAGTAATGTTTAATTTCTGAAATTGGCCACTAGTTTCAAGGAATGTACATTGTGTTTGATGCACGATGGTTTAAGGTAGTAGACCGGAAACCCTGAACAAATGTTTGATTTCAGCTGGCACTCATCATCAAGGTGTACCTGAAATTGTGTTGGATACTGGTGCGGATTGTGAGACATGGACATGTGTCACTTAGCTTTATAGTCTGAGACCATGATATGAAAAACCCTATCTAAATGATGTAGTTTATTAATCTAAGATGTTTTATTGAGTTGGATGATTTGTAAAGATTTACGAAGATATCAGCCTATGCAACCCAAACTCTTTGTGAAAAAAGTATTTTGGTCATTATTCACGTCATTCTCTGTGAAGCAACAGTTCTCTATTTAATTAATAGTTCCTTAAATTTCTCAACTAATAGTGGTAATACAATTAAACAAACTAAAATATCAGAGAATTCTGTGATTTAATGGTAATTAGTGATGTTTCAAAAGCGAATTGGAAATCTAGTTTCTGAAATCGAGACCAGTTCAATTTATAGGGATCCTCATCACGAAATTTGAGGTGTGAGGTTACCAACAAAAGTGGCATCTTTACTACAAAAAAACATTCGATGAAGTCCTATATTCTAGGCTGTTATCTATATATAACGACACTCAAACTAGTGGGAATTCAAGTTATAGTTTAAGGACTTTACAGCTGGTTATCGTCAAGCAGTTAAGGCAGAAAATAACGTGGAGTAGCTTTAGTGACAATGTTATTTTTTTCGTACTCAGACGACAACAAGATAAGGATACTTAGAGGCTTGAGTAAGATATGGATACATTAGTTCGACGTTCGAGTCCGATAAATACCAGTTGTTGCTATCGATTGCATGATAATCCATATTTATTGTGAAATGACGACCAAATACATACTGAATTGTTACTTTGCGTGCAAACACAGATCCAAGAGAATTATTAAACGTCGAGACTTGAAAACCATTGCACATTTTAAGACAATAAATATAAAGAGTTTAAGGATCTTTAGCATAAAACATTTTAGTTGCCTAAATGCTATAGAGTGTAGTCTGGGGTACAATGGACAAACACTGTATGAAAAAGACTATGAACTACTCGAAAAATAACGACAAAGCAACCTCAGGAACATACTATTATGATATAGGAGAAACTTCAGCGACTTGGTTATAATATCCCATTTACTTAACAGTGATTTTTGTAACTTTTGTTTTCTTGCTTTACAGATAAGAAAACAATCTAGAGCACAACAAAAAATCAGATATTCCGAACCAGTTATTATCAAACTGATTACCAACCTTTACATTAAGTCATGAGTGACTAAAATCACATTCATAAACAAGTAGTAATGGCCTCGTTAAATTTATACTCGAAATAAGGTTAGATTAATTAAGAAACAACTATCTACAAATTAAGTATAGACTTTACTAACTCCCTGTTCACATTAAGTGAAATATGTATTTCTACACTACTTACTTGACTGATAGTTAATTCTTGTTAGTACTTTTATGGTATATCATAGCAAATGAAATCCCGAACTGGCTGAAAATTGGATACGGAACACTTATGAATCACATGAACAATCAAGGGATGGATATTCGTACTGTCCATTTGTCACAATGATGTAACTGTTTTGAGAGTAACTTTGCAGGTTATTACAGGGTAATCGACCAGCAGATACTTAAAAAAGCTTCTTAGAATGCAATCTCAACTGTTTTATGTGAAAATAAGCTATGATTATGATTGGATCTTCCAGCTATAAACTGAAAGAATAAAACATATAACTAAAGCTGTTGGATTGGAACTAGTTATTATATAAGTAGTTATATAATCCAAACGTTGTCACTGTGTTTTAAGAGATATGGATGAAGATAGATATTTGTTGGAATG